AGACCGCTCGAAAGCGCTGGAGACGCTGTAGTACATATGCCGGGCCTGTAAGTGGCGCTGTACTACCGCACAAGACCGCTCGAAAGCGCTGGAGACGCTGTAGTACATATACCGGGCCTGTAAGTGGCGCTGTACTTCCGCCACAAAATACACCAAAAGCAGCGAAGAAGACCCCCGAGCATGGTTGTCATGGTTGACCTTCTGTTTATGCCCCGCGGTGGATTTAGCAAGATGTAGTTCATGTAATTCTCCATGTCCACTTGTTGCTGATGGTTGTGGTAGAGGAGCTGTAGACTTTGAACTAACATCTGTAGCATGGTCGAGGTGTATATTTTGCACTAACATCGGTAGCTACAGCAGTGAGCAGCAGAGGTGGGGCTATGGCTTCATGGTTATCAGGAAATGATCGTATAGGGCGTACACACTGAGCCGTTTGGCCCCGCAGAGCGTTCCGTTTGCAGATCTATCCACCTTGGGACCCGTTATCGTTTGTGGGGTCCGTTTCCACGTTTCCGTTACGGCCTCGTGTGAACGAACGGGCTATACGAAAGAGAAAAGTACCGTTTGCTTTCTCGTGTAAACAGCACCTCAAGACAGAGGCTGTGAGTGTTAAGCCCTTGCCACACGAGGACGAAAACAATAACGGACCGCAATCGTTATCAAAAAAGTCTTCCGTCCACAGGCACCAGAAACGTGTCCGTTCACACGAGACCGCTCGAAAGCGCTGGAGACGCTGTAGTACATATGCCAGGCCTGTAAGTGGCGCTGTAGTCCTGCACAAAAGCAGCGAAGAAGACTTCCCGCGCATGGTTGCCCTTCTGTTTATTCTCCACTTTGGACGCTCTGGCTCTTTTTCTCCCTCCCCGAGGCAAGCGTTTGCTCCTATTCTCCGGTAGTCCACCAGCAGATGAAAAACACCTACCTCTCTGCCTCTTCCGAAGGGACGAGTGAACCGTTCGCGGCGGAGTTTGAACCAGTTGGAAAAGTCTGTCATTTAAACATCCCATTTTTTTTCTTTGTTTACTGCCTCTCTGTTGGTCCAGGTATTGGTATTTTTGACAACAACATTTTCGCTTCCAAAATTGTTCGTTTTATTACACGGTACAACAACATAGGGTTTACGTTGAGGCCGGTTGTTTTCCGCCCCTCCGTTGTTGGGTGGAAAAGCAAACAGCTGTTTGCTGCGGAGCCGCGCGAAGCAAGTCCTCTACCGTCGGAGCGGGAGCGTGCTCCTTCACTAACAGACTGTCGCTATCCAATCTCTCTCATCTCTCTCAATTCTATACAGGAACTGCAGTAGCAAGAAGCCGCGTTGTACAACACTCATGTTTGTTTAACTCAAATCAAACGCAGAAAAGGGTGGGTCATACTGACCGCTGACGAATAGGCTTAAATGGCAATGTATTTGCCGATTTCTTCATCTGCGACTTCATATTGACAATTTTAACAACATAGGGTGCTACATACACACACTTTCAGGAAAAAGTCCACGGACTCAGGGAAACTTCTTAATACAGTTATCTGAAAAAAGCTTACATACAATAAAAAACAGCATCGGCGGTCAAATTGACCCCGTTGGCGGTTCTACGCTGTTACAGTATTTTTATTACCAGAGCACTTTCGATAGATATATTCATATGGCGCTGATCTTAGCTATCTCTTAGTGGATGGAAAACAATTGTGCATCACTTACCACTACTGGGATTTTGCTTAGTACTTTCTAGTTTCGCTATTTTTCATAGTCTTATATTTCAAAGTTTTACGACAAACTGTGAACTTTTTTACATGGAAATTATTTTTAAGATTGACACAACATCATATACTCGTATGGTAATTCTATATGGAGAAGTTACACATATATGCATATGGCACAATTCAAAGGATTGACAGATACATTTCTCTTCCATTGACTCATTGACATTTGATCTTTTCGAAAATAGGGTCATGCACCAGGTAGATGGGCGCTCGACTTGCCACTCTATGCAGAGACCGACAGACGCAAATTCGCTCCAGTCGGAAGCATCCGAACCGGTTGACGCGAATTATGCGGCGGCGATGAAGGGCAGCGACAAACGCTCGTCACTGCGTCAACAAGAAAACCATCAGCTGTTAGCAGTTTAGCACAAAAGAGCTCAAAGCTCCTCAATAATCTGTTTCAGAAACTGGACAAAAGTTAAACAAGTACAAACCACAGATGTCCTGTGTCCAGGCGAATACATTTGCTGCCTGGTTTATTTATGTCTTCGGCGTTGTATGATTGTGGGACAGCAGCATATACAACACGTTAGCTTAGCCCGGTCGATCCGATCTTTCACTTCAGAAACAAGCCAATTTTAGAAGGTTTTTCGCCAGCCACTGACTTGTCTGCAGACTTGTCAAGCATTAATTCCATGGTTTTACTAACCGGTAATCAGTCATGTTGTTTACTCTAGGCATCATTTAAAAAAGCGTGTATTAAGGCCCCAGATACACAGGCCGAAATCGCAGTAAATGGGAGTCAGAGGGCCGAACATGAGCGTGGGCACGCCCTATTCGGTAGTGGTGTGAGCCGCATCCGTCGGGTTCTTTTCTGCCGACCTGACGTCCCTTTTCCTTGCCGAATTCAACATGTTGAATCGGCGTCGGGAACACCACCGGGAAATTCGGACAAGGGATAAAACACTGATTGGCTGTTCAGCTGCGAATCAGGTGCATGAGAAGCGTTAACGGAAGTGAGGGAGGTAAACAAATGGATTTAAATGGAAGATGGAACACACACGGACGGCATTTCACCCGTCTCATCGGTTATAGAGCTCACTGTTCGTTCCATGTTTTCAGGACGAGAGTGAAAATGGAAAGAAAAACGCTATTTGTTGTTTGTTTACTATCACGGAGTCCGTATGCTTCTTCTCTGTCTTCGCGGGTTGTTGCCCTCTTTTGAATGATGAATACACACACTACAGCCGCCAAGTGCTGGTAAGGAGACTTATTGCCACTCCAGGCATCGTCAGGCAGTTCATCACTGCTCGGCTCGGATTTGCGGTGTGTTCCACTGGCGCAAAGTCGGCAAATACGCAGGAGACGATCCGGCGAAGCGCCAACAGTCCGGTGTCCGGCGTCAGGCGACTTCTCAGGTGAACCGGGCCGGTGGTATCTGGTGCTTTACAATTTAATCATGTAAGAAAATGTTCATGTTTTGGCAGTGTAGCTCCGAGACCAGTGAGTCTTGTTTTGAATGAGTAAACAACAGCAATGAAGTAACAGCAGCTAACAGCCGCGGTGACAACTCGAGCGTTTAGAGCGAGAAGCGAATATTTGCAGTCGCGTCCGGTGTGACGCAAGCATTAGACCCTAGCCACACGGAGAGGGTACGAAAACTAACCGAATTCAAGTATCCAAAAAGTCTNCACCAAGTGTCAGAAAACACAACCCTCTCTATTTTCCTCCATACCCAAATCTCTTAAAAAGGGGCTGCAACGGATCTGATACAGACTGATCCAGATTTGAACACTTCTATGACGTCACAGAAGTGGCGCTACGGCTATTGGGCCAACTCCACCAATCAGGAGGAGTCAGCCACGGACATTGCCGTTCGAAAGCGCTGGAGACGCTGTAGTACAGATGCCAGGCCTGTAGATGGTGCTGTTCTCACAGAATCAGCGCATGCAAAGACAGTGTTAAATTGAGCGAAATGAGGAATGGCTAAAATGCATGATGTTTGGTATTTTGAAAAATAAAAAGTATAAATATGCCTTATATAGGTATGGTCCTACACTATATTATTCAAATATAGCATGATGTGAATGTGGTACACACCACTGCATGCTGCGGAGAGCTGGTGGGTGAAAGAAAATATATCTGCTTTAGGCAAATTTCCATTCTACCCAAGTTTGGGAGGAGAAAAACAAAGGACAAACTTCATCCTGCCCAGCAGTTACAACAGTGACCCTCATAACTCATCATTGTCTAGCAGGACTATGTGCTGCCTTCAAGATCGTACTCATTATGAACACAAATGTCCTATACCCTCTCAAGGCATCTTAAGGCAGCAATTGAGAAACAATGTTGGTTAATAAGTTACATGACTGGTTTTTTGTTAACATCCTACAGCTGATTACCTGAAATGCAGTCGGTATCCAACGGTGAACAGGGAACAGGGAACTACATGTTGATATGTGAGAAGAAAAAGATGGAAGGGTGCCCTCTGGTGTTTGGAAAAAATAATGACACCAATTTGCAACGAAACTTATCTTAACCTGCCAGGGTGCGTGAAAATCCTGCCAGGGGGCAAGTCCCATCATGGGCTTCTCAAGAAGATCACATGCTTGTCATGTAACATTTATTCAGGCTACAAAACTGTGTAATCCTTGTTTAAACTTTTAAACAAGTCAACAAGGCAGGGGTGTCAAACTCAATTTCATCGCGGGCCACATTCTCATAAAGGTTGCACTCAAAGGGCCAGTTGTAACTATATATAAATATATAAAATAATGTATTATATTACATTATTGCCTCTGCATTGGATTATTATCGGATAGGATAATAACTTAGTAATTAACTACGTCTGAAAGCAGATGTCCACGGCAAATAATTGCAAGTCTCTTCAGTGCGCGTCACAAAACGAGATGCATTGTGGGACATGTAGTTTATGGGCAACCTGCTTCTGTAATGTGGCATGTAACCATAATACATTTATTATATTCTTTGCAAGCTCTTGCGGGGCCACATAAAATGAAGTTGCGGGCCGGATTTGGCCCCCGGGCCTTAAGTTTGAGACCCCTGACCTAAGGTGAAGCCGAAAACCGGCGGATAAGCAAAGGACATTTTTGATCAAGTCATGTCTGCTGAATTTGTCAACTCTACCTTTGTAATAAGAATAAACAAGTGCAGTATAGGGCAATTATTCAATGTTTTATATCAATGCATGAGAGTGAAATACTATATACAACACTTTTTATTTTAACCAAAAATCTTCCACCTTGTTCAAAACACAATACAATAAGAGGCCGTTGAGACTACAGTTTAGAAAGTGCTGCTATATTGTATAATCATCCTTTAATGTTGAGTTTCCAGCTTTGTTTGATGAGGTCTGCCACAAAAAACGTTTGAAGAAATCCTCTGTAGGTGCCATCCTGATGTCTACCCCTTCACAAACAAAGAAGGCGAGGCTTTATAGTCGATACTTTTTAAAAGAACCTTTAACATTAGAAGCATTTTTCGATTTTAGTGCATACATTTGAGCAGTAATCCTATTCAAATTTGATATAAAATGCAATATTTCAGTTTAGATTGAATAAAGCAAGTTGGTAAGTGCTTCTTTTGATCTGGTTCTGTTTTCTGGATCAGTTTCTGTATTCACAACTGTAAGGTAGCGGAGGTCTGTGACATGGCATTGTAAATGAAAGTGTTGTTGAAGGGCACAAACTGGTGGCTGATGATCTTGATGGCCTCTTGAGCAGCAGATCCTAAAGAAACACCATTAAAGAAGATGAAATAAACATCTTTGATTTGTTAGCACTCTGTAGGTTAGAATTTATTTTAAGGACGAAAATATTACCTCCTAAAAATGCAGCGACTGTGTGTGGCTCTGCTGCACCATATCGACAGCTGCAGGTTTAAAGAAAAAAAAAAAAGCTTGATTATAAATTTGATACAGTCTTTTACAATCACTTCATCAGTAAACTGGACATCACTTACAACTCATGGATGTAATCATCTTTAATGTTGACGTTGAGGCTGTACTCCTGCAGGAGGCTGTTCACACAGAGCTTCAGTTTGCTGATGTCATCTTCCACCTGGTAGTTATAAACTCCTGGGAAGAGAAACATGGGGGGAAAATAAACAAGACAAAAAAATGTTGCATCAAGAGGAAATATTGTCATAATTCCAGACTATGAAGTCTTTGAGTTTGTGCAGTGTCAAGGCAGAAACATGAAGATCTTTAACATCTTCTTCAAAATCTGTATGATCCTTGGTCGTACCTGGGTAGCGGGAGTGCTGCTGATAGAAGCGATCTACAGCGCGCAGCATGAGGTAGAAGACCATCTCGCTATCTGGATTGTCCATGCTTGAGGCTGAGGACACACATTTATGTTAACGGGCAAATATTCTTCACGCTTAACAGAAGATAATATTGTACAAACTCAAAAACAAGACATAAACAAAGCTGAACAGTTTAATCTCCAGCTTACTGATTTCATCTTTATTTACTGAATCCACACTATATTCTTCAGCCAGAGATCTGCAGCGCACCACCCTCAGAAATGATGAGTTCTTACCTAGACACCAACACAAATTGAACAGTTAGCAATAAACGCATTGTAGGTGCAGCAAAAAGTGTATATTTTGTTCCACCTGTTTGCAGTTTTCTTAAAATCGAGAAGGAACAACACTCTGTGACAGCAGTACAAATCTTAATATTTCCATAATAGGAGACATGAAAACATATGAAGTCAGAAAAGTATGTATCCGTCATAATACTTACAGAACAGTTTGATGTCCTTTTCCAAGATGCTCTCTGGTGGCTGGTACAAATAAAAGTAATACAATTTGAATTACAATGTAATGTAAGTAGCAGCATTTTCATCCATATATTCAGTATTTCAGGGCTAAACCTGGTAAAGCTTGTTATTACTTGGGACCTATCAGACATTTATTTTGAGCACAAACTTAAAAATGGATTTAGGACCCAAATAAAGTCATGACTAACTCCAGTACTGACTACGTGGGTTTATAACCTACCTTTCCTATAGACTGCAATAGGCTTTCTACGTGCTTACAAACAGCTGCTGCATCCTGCAAGGCCTTTTCCCTGTAACTGAAATCAAAAACACAAAAATAAACATTAACACAAATCCACATAATTACTGTGAGAAAGAGGCATAAACCAGATGTGGATCAGGGGATCAGAGGTTTTCTGAGTAGCAGACTTACACATTTTGGAGGTTGATGAACTTCTGAGAGTCTGCGATCATATCTGGGATGCTTCCCCGTACAGGAAGGCTTCCATTGCCTTCTTTAAGGACAAACTCCTTTACAGCTCTGAGCATCACCCAGAAGGACGGGGACTGGTAAACACAAACAAAACAATACACACACCACACTTTTAAAAAAAAAGCATGAATTACTACTAGGGAATGACTATGATATATCCATGTGTCCTTTCAGAGAAAAGGTCTCAGAAATAAAAAAGTTCTTACCTGTGATGTGATGTTGTTACACTGCTCACTATTGAAGAGGTCTTCAACAGCACTAGGAGTCTGCAGAAACAAGGAGTGTAATCAGACCTCACAGGTACATGTCATACTATAGAAAACATAAAGACTTGGGGTTCAAAGGAGGAAACATGTTAAACAAGATAACTCTTATAACCTAGGAGTATTTGGGGTCTGGTACCTTGGTTGGATTTAAAGCAGTATTCACATTCTTAATAGCTTCTTCAAAGTTTTCTTCGTCCTCTGGGACACCATTCTCTTTCTTCAGGATCCCTAAAGGCACAAACAAAATGTCTAAAATAAAAGTCGTAGATAAGTTGAAACACCAAAGTTACTGAACTGACAGTTTTACACAATACAGAGGGCCTCAGATACCTTCTCGAATGAACTGTCTGAAGGCGTCTTTCTCCTTGTAGTTCTTCGGTGCCTGACAGTCGTGCTACAATGACAAAACTATTGGTTTATTATTATCGTAAAACAACCCAACAACAGCAGTGATTAATTTGTCAGACACTTTTGCATTGGGGAGGCCACAGACACTGTAATGTACCTCACTCAGCCATTTCTCTAGGTGCTTAGCAATGATGATAACCCACGGTGTGTGACTGTGATCCTGCAGATTCAGTAAAAAAAGAGAAAGAAGTACATCAGTTGTGTAAAGCTGGCATAGCTTATATGTTCATCAGTTTAAATGTGCTGAAGTACACACCTTCTTGTCCATGCTGTCAAGGTCGTAGGACTCAATGTGGCTCTTGAATTCAGGAAAAGGCTTGAATAACCGGAGGTCCTCCAAGGCATTGTCCGGGTGGGATTCAATCACTGAAAAGGAGGCAAGAAAATGTCAATATATTTTTACAGTTTACATATAAACCATGAACAACGGTGAAAAGACCATGTAACAAAAAGTGTGGCTCCAGGCAGACAGGATGTCAATAATCTCATGTAAATAACCATGAGTCATGACTATAGAGGGAAATGCATGACATGTTATTTACCAAAGTGCTGCTTTGGTAATTTAAAGTGTTCATTCTTCAATGTGAACTGAAAGGTTACTTTTAAAATGTGTTAAAATGTCATAATAAGAAAAAGTAGAATGCTAACCTGTATGCTCCTGCACGACGAGTCGCATGTAGCCAATCAGGCCATAGCTCTTACAGACGAGGAAAGGTACCGAGGCGCTCCACAGAACTGAGCCCAGCCTCAAACATGTGCTGTTGGATTTAAGATAGCCTTTTACAACTTTACAAAATAAAATAATGACCAATCAAGGCGATAAAGACAGTTTACCTAAAACAACATATAAATAATGAAATATAAAACATATCTTATTTTTTTTTTTAAAGCTATAAATCCCTTTGTAAATTACATTAACTTTGTCATTTCATCTTTTATGGACTGCACAAAGTTTAGATATTTACACAAAAAAATAATAATTCTAGTTAGGACACTATAAGTTCCTTAATAATTAATCATTAACTATTTTGTTAAAGTGAAATGTGAGTGTAAACATTAACCATCTCATACCTTTCTGGCAACTGGACACCGATAACTATGCTGAACCTGTGGAAAAACTCAGGATCATTGTCCAGAAGCTTGTCTGGACTCTGCAGGAGTGACAGAAAATACAAGAAAGATCGCTGTCACTGTCAGAACAATAATACTGATTATTACATTTAATATTTTACACTTAAATGTAACGACATTTGCATGCTTCTTTTATAGTGGTATGGAAGTAGCCCTTGGTTGTATGTCCACTGGTTTATGTGTGAAATGTATATTTATTATTATTATGAAGATGGTATAAAAGAAGTTTGATATCAATTCTTACTTAAAAATTAACACTGTTAAAACGTATATGGCATCATGTTAAAACTTTGAAAACGACAAACCTCCTCGACAAAGTTTCCAGAGACATCAGTGTTTAGTTCTTGTAGCAGCTCAGTGGCAGCCTGTGCTCGATTCTGCAACATAAAAACTAAGGTCAGGGCTCATACAAATACATTTAACATTTCCTACTTGATACGTTTATTTAATATGAAAAGTAGGAGGAAAGATGCAGATGTAAGGAGGAGATGGTGTGCTTGCTTGTGCACTTGCATATGTTCACAAAACATACATTCTTTGATTTTGGGAACAAATATACCTTTCCAATGCTGTTGTTGGTGAGGAAAAAGCTGAAAGACAAAATCGAAAGATCAAGTATGAACAAACGTGCAAATATAACACACTAATTCAAGTGTAGATACATTTACAAAACCAAAACAACTGCTGTCTTACTTGTTTCCAACATCTTCTCCCGAAACAGTGTGTCCATCGACTATGGTGAATGCTCCAATACCTGACAGAGAGATACATTAATTAAATAAGGGGGATTATTATTATCACTTTTATATATATACTGCACAGTCTATGATCAGCACCTGCAGCATTAGCACAGAGCCACATGTGTTTTACCTGGAAGCACTAGGTTCTTCAGTATCTCTGTCCCAGTTGCAGTGGCGTTGATGAGACAAACATGTGCATTCTCCAGTGACTCCTGACCATGGTCACCCCACAGTCTGAAAAATAACATGGACATGTGTTGCCACCTAGTGAAACAATGATTCCTCAAGCCACTGTGCAAGAATGGCTTAGCTACAAGAGCTTCAATAGCATTCACTAGCATACAGTTACACTTGATAAACCATCAAACACATTACATATATAAAGTCAGCAGCTGTCATTAGACAAGCTGGCCTTTTGATTGACAAGCAAACACCAAACAGAGACTCATGCGTATGCCTAATGGCTAATGTTATGATAGGGAATGGATTCCATTCCCTATCATAACATTAGCCATTAGCCATAGCTAATGTTAGCACAGAGATACTGTTTTCATACAGCTAGCTCACTTTAGCACTCCAGCCTCACCGGTGCATCCGATAGCACCTCTCAGAAGAAAATTTAAAAAACAATTAGCTAAAATAATATTCTTTGTGAAATGTGCAGTATATATTTAAACGTACCTGAGTTGTCTGTCGTATTTCTGTTCTTTGGAAGCTTTGGTGGCTGCCATCGCTTTCAAATGACAGACGCTTATAGACGTATTTTAACTTCCTCATTGACAGATTCGACGAAAAAAAATACTCGTGTGACAATTCGGATGCGCACTTTCCACACAAATGCTTCCCCTATAGGAGACCGACTTGAATTGACATAAGGAAGGTATTGTTAAATTGTTCTTTAGATATTGTGTTGATAATACAGTAGGATAAACTACCTTTCTGTGAGTTAATATGATCAATATAAAGTGAAACGTGTTGGAGGCAGCGGGGTCTGCAGACTCCCTGAGAGGAAGGGGCATAACGGGCATAACGCATAACAAAGAAGGGGCATCTCACACAAAAGATGGTGGGGACTTTGTGGACACTAGTGGAAACCAAAGCAGCAATGATATATGGATGTTTTAATTTAAAATATCCAGATATGAATGTAGCCTATCCATGTGTAACATAAATGAATAATCTCATTTGCACACCAAGCCTGATCCTGACATTAACCTGTTAATAATTGTATGATCCATTTGCTGTTAAGATCATTTTGGAATTGAACCCAATATAATTTGGATTTGCACCTTATTTGCACTCTTCACACTTTGTATTGCCACTGTTGCAAAGCAATACCCCTAGGTAACAGTGTGATGTTATATCTTACAATATGTTTAAAATAATAATTCCACAATATGCACCCCTATAGGAGTAGAATAATTTCCACAATCAACTAATCAATACATTATTCCATGGTCACCGTCTTATTCGTAATGTTTACCATAAAAATGGAAAACATATGATTTAAAATTTTATTACAGAATTTAAGATTAGGCCTATACAATATTGAAACCAGACCAAAAACAACGAAGACCAAATAGGCTACGTTTGGATGTAATTAAAAGTAATTTTAAAGCAGAATTTGGTCATGTACAGGACCTTAACACCTACAAGTGGATGACAAACAAAACTTGCTTTGATGCCTAGGGTATATTGAGAATGGTGTGTAATTAGCAGAGAATTACAATAAACATTGGTCATACCAGTCTAACATGATATGCTATCATCAGTTACATTTTTAGTAGAGCAAAATACATTATGCAATATAATAATGTTGTAATCATATCTTACTGAAGTCGTTAAATCCGAAAAAGACTGACTGCAGTGACTTTAGACAAAATAAGCTTTAAAACCACAGACGGGTGTTTAAGTGTCTGTGTGTGTGTGTGTGTGTGTGTGTGTGTGTGTGTGTGCGTGCGTGTGTGTGTGTGTGTGTGTGTGTGTGTATGTGTATGTGGGCGTGGGCGTGAAGGGGCGTGCCAAGAAAGGGATAATTTCCCTTCCCGTTCGGCCCCCACCTAAACTTCATCAATAGCTTGTTTGCTTTGCTTGAAATCCGTGTCCGTCCTCCACGTGCGCAGCGGAGTGCGAGAGTCACACACCGACGGCTCGCTCAGACCCGAGTCCACTACAGGCACAATGACAGGGAATCAATGGGGATATGGAAAAGATGACGGTAAGATCTCATATCATCCATGCTCCCTACTGCTTCCCATCCACAGTGGAGGCATGTAACCTACTATTCTACACTAGCCTACACATTTGTAGTGTTGCGTCGAGTAGCATTGCGTGTTTCTAACGTGGAACGCTTACGTTGTTAATGCGAGATTAGCCTCATGCTTAAAGGGATGCCTGCTGCTGTGACCTACACCTGACTTTACACCCGATTTGCTCTGGGCTCTAGAGTTCATTGCGTTGGATCAGTGTAATGGACAGTTCAAGACGTATTGTGTTGCAGTGACAGGATGAGATTTGAGATCTGTTTTCCCTTTTGAATACTTTGGTCTTTATTTTATGCAAATCCCCACCTATTAGTTGTTGTTTGTAAACAGACCTTGTTCAATTATTGGTGTAACTTAAATTCAATGAGCTGTGTATAATTAGAAATGCATATTATTACTATGCTTTCGAAATAATTCCATCCTTTTTTTTGTATGGACACAGTGAAAACTGTTTATTTTTATTTTTAAAGTAGCCTTATGGTCATCATCCTAGAAATGAAAACTGAAGGTGTAATTGAAGTATGTTCTGTTGATTTCTAATTATCTTCTTTTATATCAAGGACCTTCTGCATGGAACAAAAACTACCCCGTTGCTGATGGGGACCGGCAGTCTCCCATAGACATCCTCCCTCATCAAGCTCGACATGACCCCAACCTGAGTCCCATTGTCCTGAACTACGATCGTTGCACCTCCATTAATATTGCCAACAACGGAAACTCTGTTGTGGTAGAGTTTGAGGACTCGGATGACCGTTCAGGTGAACTAATTTGGTATTCTTTTATAAGTTTACATATCATTTAACCCTGAATCTTTTAATCAAAGAAAGCAGAATCCCTGCTACAATCAAAATCAAGGTGTTAAAATGTGTGGAATCTTGGTTTAGATGTGGGGGAAAAGAACACAAGCAGAAAGGTGTATTTATATTTCTTGCCTTTTTGAAAACATTTAATGATTGCGTTGAAATTATTGACTGAGATCACAGTTCAGGTTTTATCTGATCTCTGTTTTCTGCCACCTGCAAAGGAAATCTGTGCTAAAAGATGACCCTCAATAAACATAAGTTTAAAAGGAGGGATTGCCTTCATTTTAAGAAAAAGTGCAAACCATGTGAATAACTGACCATAATCAAAGGTTAGAAATAAACCCCTGATTATGCTGCAGGGATATGCAGGCAGCAGTTAACTGTATGAGCTTCTGTCTGCTGGACAAGAGATGTAATAACATCAGGTGATCTCAGTGGTTATTATGACCCGATTGGCTTTTATCACTGGGTGGATCCATGTTAACCACCCTGTCATTAGCATGAATGATAAGCTCAGAGACGCAGGGCTGTTTGGCTCAGACGGTTTCCACAGAGCAAGCAAGAAGCTATCATCGAAAGTCATTAATGTAAGAGGAGAGGAAAACTAATGCACTTCCTCAGCACTTCTCCACAGTTTGAACAAGGTGCACAAATCCCTTAAACCTGCTGTTGTCAGTTTGCCATGTGTGGTTTGGTCTGGCTGTACACATGCATACATTCACACACGACTTGTATTGTGTCACAAGAACAAATTAATTATATAGATTAGTGGTGCCCAATGCACAATGAAGTTATTAAAGGGTTTAACAAAATATCGTATTATGATCTAAAAAACATGGCTCTGAATAATGTAATTATAATAAATGCCTTTCTTCCCTCATGTATTAATGTACATATTACCAAGTTTTGGGCTTACAACATTACTTCCATCTGTAACGACCTGAACATAATTTATTTTTATGCGACAATCTACTGATCGCCTCATATTCTAGATAAGGATTCTTCAGACCCATTACCATCACATTTGTTCAGTAAGCACATTGCCTTATAGCAGATCAGAGTTCTTTTGGTTATCCTACATCTATACTGTAAGATGTGCCAGATAAGTGTTTTGCTCTTTGTGCCATTTCATGCCTCACTAATCTGACCTGCACTGGTGTGGCCTGTTTGTCAGAAGGATGTCAGCAGCATCACAATGAATAACAGTCAGACTACACTGCTGTTCTTCAAACCCAGCAGTGCAAGCCATAGGTTCTAACACAGTCTTCACTATCCTTCTAATGTGCTAAATATCACTAAGACATACATCTATTCATCCATGGTCCACAATGAATAGCTCAACCAAGCTAAAAGTAGATGTAATGTTTCTTTATTTAGAATAGCACCCTCTATTTGTGTCTCGAACTGAAGATTGTGCCACTGAGCTCTAATGATGGTTTTTTTTGTAAAGCAGGCGGACTCTCTGTTGACGGTGCTCATGTCATGTCTCAGCCTTGAGTTAGAAATTGAATAAATTACTGTAGGTTTTGCCGGGTTAACTCTTCCTGCAGTTGTACCAAGCTGTTTGGATGATGCTGCTCACAGAAAACTCTTTCTAAAACCCATGGATAGAAGGATTGTGTGTGTTTTCATTGTTATTTTTGTTTACATGTCATCTTCTACAGTCATCCAGGGAGGCCCTCTTGACAACCCCTACAGGCTGAAACAGTTTCACTTCCACTGGGGTGGAAAGGGCTGCCATGGCTCTGAGCACACTGTTGAAGGAAACAGTTATGCTTCTGAGGTCAGTGTCAGGATACTTCAGAGTGTCGGTGTCTAATTAGCAAAACACACAAAGACAGATTTAGCAAAGGTGTGTCATTAGGTTTATTTGGTAACATCTTATGCTAGAAAATAAAATCTAAATACAGCTTTTCATGCTAAGAAATACCATGCGACTTGATTTAGTATTTTTTTTTACAATAAAGGCTGGTTAATGTTTTTTTGTGTCTTTCTTCCTTTCTTCCTGTTTCCCCACTCCAGCTTCATTTAGTGCACTGGAATGCAGTCAAGTTCAAGACGTTTGGCGAGGCAGCATCAGCTCCTGACGGCCTCGCTGTGCTGGGCATCTTTTTAGAAGTAAGATATTCCTCTTGATTGCGATCACATTTTATGTGAATTTAAGTGTTTGTCAGCTTTGAAATTAACATTTGCTATAGTTAAGAGATCTAAAGATATTTATATTCAAAAATCAAAATCCAACCGCAATCTTCTCTGTTACGCAAGACAGGTGACGAACACAGATGGCTTCACATGATAACAGACGCTCTGTACACGGTGAAGTTTAAGGTCAGTAGATTTCAGCTAGGTTTTATTACCTGTAATATTCATGTGGTTAATGCTGCTGTCACCATTACTGCAGTAATATAAATCTGTTGTCTTTTCATATTCCTGTTTCAGGGCAGTGTTACAGATTTCAAAGGTTTCAACCCCAAGTGCCTCCTGCCCAGCAGCCTCCACTACTGGACCTACCTGGGATCCCTGACCACACCCCCTCTGCACGAGAGCGTCATCTGGATTGTGGTCAAAGAGCCCATGATAGTGTCTGAAAAGCAGGTGGGTGTGGGTCGCAGAAATGTTCCTTTGACCACAATACATGACAAGCTTCCAACACCTAGAACACTGTTGAGTATTTATTCTCCAACATAATGAAGCACAGCAATAAGTCCAAATCCTGTAGTTGGAAACACCTTGGGCACTAGATCTATGTTTTTGTTTAGTACAACTCGATCACCACCATCACTGCCTCAAAGGTTATGTTCACCTGTACAATATTTCTGATTGCTTTCAGTCATCTGTTTGAGCAAATGATCTGCACCCAAGTAGTATTTACTCTCTGTGTCAGAATCAGAAATCCTTTAAAGGGTGAGTATACTAACATATTAAATAAAAGGGTTGAATTAATGTTTTTAGATTTGTAAGTAACACAGCTTCACATACTGTATGTATACCCAGATATTGTATGTTTCTTTTGTAATTCAGTGAAGCTCAAGCTATTGTTTCAGTTGATCAGTCAGTTGTGACATCCATGTTTCCTGGCCTGCAGGATGTTAGACCATGCTCTACTAGACTTTAAGTATCCACTGCCTCCATTGTTGTCCCATCAAAGTTAAGCATCACTGGATCAGTATGTTAGGTGTGAGTAATGATGGGGGGGGGATGTGGTGGTAGGGTTTGCATCATCTAAAAAAATGTAATGTTTGGTCTACGTACGATGCTATGTTTAGAGGCAACAACAATAGTGAGCATCAGTCATGGGGATGCCGTGTTTGGGGTTAACTTGTTTTTATCCACCCCTCTTGGCACTGAGTGGAATCAGAAAATGTAGGTCTGGTAACCCCAGGTTTGACAAGTTAAGCTGACTAACAGGATGCCTGCAGCACATGCCCTCCAGGTCCCCATGTGGCGACTGCTGCCAGCCTCTGGATTATGCTCACACACTTTGATCTTTTCTAGTCCGGTTCCAATTTTTTTTAACTCCAGGACTAAACACAAGTAATCAGGAGTTTAATGGCAGCGGCACCACGGGTGTAGGCATGAACGATTTGTCTGTAAACCAATGTGTGTCGCATGGCTGGGGGTGAGAAGTAAGCTAGGCAACTAACCTCACAGCCTGTGTCTGCAGGCCTCAAGCCTTTGATCCCCTCCAGCTGATTATCATGATGGATGGATGACTGGATGTGTTCTGGGCTTTAATTGAGAAATGCTTGCAAGCAGACCCAGCAGGGAAAAGCCCTTTTTTATAACAGGATATTATTTTGTTTTTCATTACCCGGTTATTATGGACATGGCGCTAATGGGGAAATAACAAGAACATTACAGTAAAGTGAAGGTAGATTCACATTTTGGAAGTGAAATTACCGTAGTTAGTATTATATAATATATTCCTTGTAAACAAAAGGAACAAAAAGAATACAACAACAATTGATTTACTACTAAATCTTACTAAAAGCATCGCCTGCAGCCAGATCTTAACATAGCTTCTTACATTTCTGTCATAGAGCTCCAGTATTTTTCAGAAACGATCAAACACATCAGTGCGTCACACAGCAGCACAAGGTAACAAAGTATTCAGGGAGGGATAAATGTATTGTTGGATTTGTTGCAATAACATAAAGAACATCACTGGTCTTATTCATCTAGTTTTTACATTGTCTAGTGTTGATCAAACGTTGTGCACAGAACTTGTTAAACCAATTGATTTCCTTGCAAAAATATTAACTACCGGTATATCTATCTTTCTCTGCCGATGCAGCTGGGCAAGTTTCGAACGCTTGTGTTCACTGGAGAGGAAGAGGATGAGAGGACACGCATGGAAAACAACTTCAGGCCTCCCCAGCTTCTCAAAGGCAGGACTGTGCGTTCCTCCAATTAACCCGTCCAAAGTGGTAGACAACAAAGGCTGTTTTAGACAACAATGAATGCATTAATGTGATTGTACTTTTTTACCTCATGGTAGCTTGACCTGAAGATTTCTGCATTACTTTGTACAGAAAAGTAATTCTGATCACTGCCAGCACATTGAGATGCAGACTCTTCAATGGCAGAGGGAGGAATCCGTTTTTGAATGATGTAAGGAAAATTAAAGGGATGTTAAGTAGAAATCAAATAATATATTAACTTTTCTAAAACTCTGCAAGTTTGTTATTGACAAAGATGAAATCACTATAAGCTGTATGTTAATGAAGATTCAAAGGTTGGATATGCACTACCTCCACAGCAAGATGAGCTTTGTTGGGTGCTATTATGTAACTAGTTAGTCTGTATACCCGTGCCGTGTGTTTCTGTTCGCAGACTGCTATTGCACCTCTCTGCTACCTGCAGATTCACAGCCCTGGCCTCTTAACTGATCCCTGCGTTGATCCAGCCTACTGCTGATGGATTCCCCGTCCTTGTGGACGTACATCCCTCAGTCCAACAATCTTAACTGGAGGTGGGATTGGATTAACGCAGCATTTGCTCTGTTGACCATGACATCGAGCATGAAAGTCTCAGGTCCTTTTTAAAGCTTATCAGACTGGGTTACACCCCCCAGCAGGAGGATTTATTATTTTTAGCGGGCTCTTCAGATTTGACAAAAAGCAGTGTTCACTCTTGTTTCCCATTCACGCAGCTCTAAACAGGAAGCCAATGAATTCAATATTTCAATCAAACTCTGAGATGTTACACTGTATTGAACCACTTGATGTGTTGCATTGTCTGGTCTGACGTTTCTTCTATGCAGGAGGTGATGCACACTGTCAGCAGTTCATCTCTGAAGCTGCCCTTTTTTCAGAGAAACGCATGTAGAGTCTAGTATGAACTGTAAATGTGTGACAGAAGCCCTGGTGTCTCACTGAGGAGAGTTATGGCAGCTTTGTGTAATGCTGTTCCTTATTTAGATGGGCTTGGATTACACTAATGCAGAGGTATGGCAGGGATAAACCTACAACAAAACGCACATATGGGGAATGACACCTCAGTTATGATTGTTATGTGTTTGTGTGAAAGACCATTCATTTATGGGTGGTTTGAATATTTTTGTAATGCATTCATTTGTGATGTTTGCTGAATTAAATAATAACATTTCAAAGTGACTTTGTTTAACAGCTATTTTTCATCACATTTAAAGCCAGATTATTAGACTTGACATTTACAATATTAAGAATCTTCCTGCATTTGATCATTTGGGATATTTGCTTCCGCTTCCAAACATAAACTGTTGTGTTTTTGATGTTTTATAAGACATGGCTTAATGCGGGGGTTGTAGGCAAAGTTCAAGCAGACATTTGCATTCATTAAATACAGTTGATAGTTTACCTTCTCACCAAAGAGCATAGTTCATCTTTCTTGTTTAGAGCGCTCTAACTGAACCTTATACCTTCTATGTAAAACAGGTGTTTGGACGGAGGAGACATTCAAGCAAATGTTTAAACTCCCTCTCCCTGATCAGAGGCAGCAGTGCTGGTGCTAAGGTAATTAATAACCAAACTGTAGCCTGGAGGAATTAGAGAAGGAACACAGGTTGTGATCACAGTCAATTATTTACCAACTGTGTCCATTGAGCCAGTTATATTTGGCCCTTTAAATTCAGCAAGGTAAAGTGTTAAATATTAGCCAGTAATCATGTCGCAAATACCTATGGTATAAAGCTGCAATCTTGAGGGAGCCATTACATCCGTTTGGCACTATACATGTGTTTCTGTCTTGGTTATTTAAAAAAGAACAAATGTCCTTATTTATATAAACTACCCAACCCAATAGTGAACTGGAATAGATAAATTCATTATCAACCTTCCAGCTGACAAAGACCATCTTAAAGAAGGTAGAAGAAACGTGCCTCTGTTCTCCCAGAGACACATAGAGTAATAAAACACAATCTTCTTTAAATGAATATGCTAAGAGGATTGATTTTATTCTAAAGAAACTCTTTAAAATAAAGATTGTGTTTTTTTTATGCTGGAACTACAGGAAGCACATTATCTGAGAGATGTTTGTCATCCAGGTTTATAATCGACAACATGGAGTATGATTTAAACTTCTTTAAAAATAAAACAAATCTTAAAGTCTGAGGCTTCAGTGTGGCTATAGTATTTGTCCAGCAGATGGCGAGGTGAGTTAAGACTAGACTTATATTGGATGTGTAATGTACTTGAATTAAGTTTATCAGACAATTATTAACTGAAATGGTGTATTTCATTCTTCAGATATACAAAGAGCAAGGTCTGTGGTTTGAATTACGATTGAAAGAAACATACTAATCACTCTGAACCTGATAAAAAAAATGCACAATGGAATCATTGGTGTTCCTGTAGGTGGCAGCACCTGTCTGTTGTATCACATGCAGTGAGACAAAGGGATTTCATTTAAGTACAAATAAACCACAGATGCCTGTACATCTTTTTGAAAACATGTAAATGGCTTCATGTGGATGTATTTAATAGAAAAGGGCTGACTAAAGCGGAAACACATATCTGATATCCAAAGAGACAGCATTTATTGTGCTATCAGTTACACTTGACCTTGCCTTTGTCTGTCCTCCATGACACTGTGTACGTTTTGTTTGAATCAAGAGGTTGCATTACCCCGTCTGGTTGCATTTCATATAATTGCTGATGGTTGTGGAAAAATGCAGTTGCAGGTTAATGAATAAAGAATTAAAGTGGGTGTGTGTGAAGTATATTTAACACCTATTCTCAAATAATCCTTCCAAAATAGCATCAGGAAGCTTTATTGAGACTGAGAATACCTGAGCATGCACATCATCCTCAGCCACAATCGATGTGCCATGTAATATGATATTACAGTCAGGCCTCAGAAATAGAGTCAGTCACATGTATTTTTAGCATCAGGATATCTACTTGCTTGTTGTAGTGATTTTTCCCAGACACAGCATCATCTGAGCAACTTCTGAAATACTAACCTTTGGGTCAAGTGACCAGCATGAGGTTTGCTGGCCAGACAGAAGAATAAGCCTAAAGAATGGCTAAATTATTTACCGGTTAACACAGAGAAAAAATACATTTCAGCATAAAGACTCCGGCATGCATGTATACAGTCTATCTATGGTATAGGGGGGGTGCGTGTGGCGCAGTGGATTAGTGCGTTAGAGTGTTTGGATCAGGGGAGCACTGGTTCAAACCCCACTGCAGTCAGCATGTGGTTGTGTCCCTGGGCAAGACACTTCACCCCAAATTGCTCTTGTGGGAATTGCCCACAGTATTGAGTATGTAAGTCGCTTTGGATAAAAGTGTCTAACAAGTAACATCTACAAACATCTATTCATACCCATGTCAAACTCAAATGTTTTACGCATATAAAGTAAAGCTAAAAATAGCATAATGTGCATAATGTTGCAGCTGCTGCAGAAGGAGTTCATTTGAATTCATACTGTTGATTTAATTACACTATAGCAATGCATCATATTTTATAAATGTATTTCTTATTATTATTATTTAAAAACGTAATGTATCAAATTAACTTTAGCTAAACCTGTAAAATAAATGTAATATATCTGAGAAAATCTGATGTAGGCCAACAGTATACATTTGCATACAATGAAAATACAGAAATACCTCAACATTGTAGGATAGTACTCAAGTAAATGTGCTTAGTTACATTCCACACACGAAAGATGGTATTAACAAGACAGGTAGCATTAACATACAATGCTAGTGATTTACTATATGGTATGTTTTTAAAGCATAGCCGACATTGATGTCTAAAAGGGAAGTTATCCTGACCTGTGCTGCTTTGATTTTGACCCCTAATCTTATGAAGGCGGAATAATAAGTTGATGTACAGTCCCTTTACGTTAAGGGTTATTATCTATATTCTTAATATTATTATTTGTTTGAATTTGTTTGAACTGCCACGTGTTCATAGTTTGGTTTATCCAAACCAAACTACTGTATCTAAGCTTCTAATCTCGCAGTTTTTATGACGCCACAGACGGAATACCTTCTTCTGTTTCAGCAGTAAAGCCATAAATTGAGATACTCCACTCCTAAATCCATTTAAGTTTTCCAATATTGTCAAGGACAACGTCTCTCTATCTGGCAATCAGGGGACATGGCTAACGGTGCAGTTGCCATGGATACAAACAGCACATGTAGCACAACAAAATTGTTTGCCAGCTCCTATCTCCCCTACTTGATCCATCGCCATCACCCTGTCAGAAAATAAAACGTTTCTTTCCCCTAAACACTCTCTGCTGACACGTGTGTGTGTGTGTGTGTGTGTGTGTGTGTGTGTGTGTGTGTGTGTGTGTGTGTGTGTGTGTGTGTGTGTGTGTGTGTGTGAGTCTGTGGTCTGTGGTCTGTATTCATTAGGAGCTTTATTTAGCAGCATGTTATCTATTTCTCAGTGAACAGGCCTGTGATCTCAAACCTATTCCATACACACACACACACACACACACACACACACACACACACACACACACACACACACACACACACACACACACACACACACACACACAGCACCTGTCTGTCATGTACGCTGATGTTTGGCCTTCACCCAGGGTTGGGGTTTTTAAGGTTCAACTGTAACAACTTGTTCGACAATGTCCAGCTTTTATGGGTTGTGTATATACACCAAACAACATTAAGGTTGTCAGGCAGTGGCCTTGGTTCACAGAGTGGACTGTAAATCAGAGCAGAGGAGAAGAGATGAGGTTCCCTCTCTCTGACACTCTGTTGGTGGTCTGTTATGATAATTAAAGAAAACAGAGCGCCGCTGTCATGGGAGAGAGGTCATGATCTGTAATTCTATACTCTACAGTCGACTCATATACCATAAAGCAGGGTCTTTAAGGCTTCAGGCCAAGCTGAAAGAGAGACGGAGCAGGGACCCCCTACTACTGTACACATATCATTAATTGAGTTGCATATTAAGCTGGGCCGACAATACTGTGTAGGTCCACCTAAAGTGTATAAAGGTACCTCTTTATGATGTAAACAATACCGAGCTATAAAATAACAGGTACGTAGTCGCAGCTTACTCGTTCGCCATTATGGATAAGCACAGCATATTGATTCAGTGAAGGCTAGCTACATGGGTAACAGTTAGATTAACATCAATGTTGTGTAAATTAAATGGGTTTGGGATTTTTTTAAGATTATGTTACTATAATGTGTATTTCTAAACATATTTAAATGTTTGAAAAATGTTTCAAATATAATCAAACCTGCAGAAACTTTGAGGAAACCTAGGCGTCATGGACACGTGTTGAATACCTATGCCATAAAGGGTTTGATGTATTTGTATGTATGTATAACACCTCTGGCCTTGGTTTCTTTTTTTAAAAACTTTTCTCTTGCAGTATACCTACTGTAAATGTTGATTCAGACGGTGACACTGTGAGAGACGGACCCAGCCTGACCCCTGTCATCTGATCCTCACAGTCTGGGTTACCCATCATTGGGTCATGACATATTCCGAGAGGGCCACAGACACCACACGGTCTTCAGGGAACTTGTCTGACTTTACTCAATGACCATTAAAGCCCCTTGAGTCCATCCAAGACCTCACTGTTTGCACATGGTGACTATAGCAACACTCACAGTCAGCGCTGCATCATGGCTCAGTCCACCCCTATTTATTTCATACACGTCTGTTCAAAATCAGTGTCAGACTCATTTGGCTTGCTGACTAGATACTAAAATTACCTTTAGTGGAGTTAAGAATCATAGATTTACAGTCAAAGCTATTTCAGTCGAAGTTGGATGAGAGTAATGGTCACATGTATTGTAATAAACACAATTTCCTAGGAGTGAATTACTAATAGACCAAACCATCTTTTGGGTATTGACATGATAGATTTCAAAGGCATGATTTTTGGCACAGTTGCAGATTTTTTTAATGGTAAACCATCAAGATGACACACTGTTTAAGCACCATTAAGAAACAACCTACCATTTATTTTGGATGACTGTTGATCATTAGACATCAGGTTTTTTTAAGTGTGACATACTGTGGTGTTTAAGAACTAACAAGACTGAGACTATGCAGCCATGCTAACAGCTATGTGACGCTGGACTTAGCTAAATGCTAATGGTTGTATGTTGACATGCTCACAGAGATAATGCTAACA